AATCCTCATAGAAAATTGGATATTCATGATGTCTTGCTAGAGGCTAATCTTGATTTATGTATCAAAAAATAAGAGAGGAGTCGTTTGTTCTTGATATATTGCCAACATGTCTAGGAGCATATTGAGTCACATGCATAAGTTTAAGTATTCACATTATAAATGAGAAACAAAAATATTAGAAAAATTTTTCAATTAAGAAAGCTTCCTATTTTGGAAAAGGTTTCCAAAATGGAAAGTTTTCTTAATTAAGAAGTTTCCTAAAATGGAAAAATTTTTATTGTAGAAATTAATTTTTTAATTTAGAAGTAAATAACCTAAAATGGAAATGAGTTTCCTAATTTAGATTAAAGGGTATTTTAACAAATTGTTTCCTAATATGGATCCGTCTAAAATAATCTAAAGATTATTTATTGGATAGTCCAAATAAATTAATTGGGCTAAAATAGTTTTGGCCCATCGGGTTTAATGAAAAGCCTTTAAGATATTTTAGTACAAGGATAAAAATTAACCTTATTGGATAAGGATGAATGTTTTTAAGATAACGATAAAAAGTCCATATACAAAAATAACTCTTCATCCTTGGAGAATAAGGAAGTAACAACCTAGAGTCCTAAAGGGGACTTAATGTCACCCTTCTCCTTATCCTTGAAGGACATGAAAACTCTCCTATAAATATAAGGGAGAGAGAGGAGGTGCAAGCAACTAAGAAAAATGGGAGAGAAAAAGGAAAAATTTGGCCAACCCTAAAAACTAACTAGGGCACATGACAAAGTGAAAAAAAATGGAAAAAATAGTTTTGTACAAAAACTCTAGTGCAAATATACTCTTTCCTTCTCTTTTAAGGTTGTCGCAAAATTAATCGGGATTGATTTTATAGGAAACACTACACAAATAAAAAAAAGGTTGAACTAGTGCCCAATCGATTTTGAGTGCTTCTTTGTGGATACTTGGATTACGTAGATCACTAATAGAGATAAGACAATTAGATGGCTTTTCGGATAAAAGAATTTGGCTCATGCTACAAGAGGTAATTCTTTATTCATTGTCTTAAATTCATGTATGTATGGTTAATAGATTTAACGACTTGATCTTAGAGCCTTAGATGGATAAAAATATTTATTTATTCCGTACCTCCATAGGATGCATGATCCTTCATACACACACACACACATATATATTCCAATAAAAAGTAAAATTATATTTCTTTTCATTATTTCGAAAGGAAAATCTGATGAATCTTGAAATTAATTTATTTTTGAAGTTTTTTCCTATGAATTTGTTTTTTTGAACATTTTCATAAAAAATTCCATTAAAATAAACAAAAAAAATTAATTTTTTAATTACGTATAATTTCAAAAAAAATTAAAAAAATAGTTTCCATTATAAAGATTAAAATAAATTTAAAAAATTATTTTTCATTAAAAAATTTCATCAAAATAAATTAGTTTTAATTTTAATTTCAATAAATAATAAATATTGTGTCTTATATTCTCTAAAATAAAGAAACATTATAAATACTTGAGAACTAATTTGCAACTTGATTATTTTTCACAATTTCATGGACCAAGCACATAAAAATTAATGTATAGCTATTTATAATGGTTGGAAAAACTTTTAAAGAAGGACTTTCATTTTTTTGCCAACCTATTTTTTGGAGGTTATTAGTGACGGAGGATGAAACTTTTCTCCATATTGTGAAAAGCCTTATGAATTATTTAAAAAATCTATAATTTTTTTCTGGTTTATAGTCATAAGAGAGTAGACTTAGGCATTGGCATTGAGAAATGCTTGATTGGTTGGGAAATTGAAAAACATTTTTACTATTACGAGTTGATATTACAAGTTTGAATGATGTGGCAATTAGACACTTAAAATATGCCATTTAGAATTGGGGTCATAGCATTTTAAATGAGAAATTTTTTCATATGAGGTGTATGTACATACTTTGAATCTTGTTGTTGATGGGCTAAAACATTTTAATCCTTTGATCATTCATGTTCGATCAATCGTCGAGCATGTGAGACAATCTCTAGCTAGGTTGAAAAGATTTAAGAAATCAATTGAACTTAAAAATATTTATTTTAAGAGTTTGTTATAAATGGATGTCATAACTGGATGGAATTCAACCTATTTGATGCTAGATTCGACTAAAAAGTTTGAGAGAGCTTTTAAGAGATATGAGCAAATTGATATAGAGTGAATTTGATGTAGTTCATGATAATAATATTGTTGGGCCGCCTAATATTGATGATTGGAATGCTTGTAGGAAGATGGTGAGCATGCTAAAAAAATTTTATGACCCTACTTTGCTTATTTCGAGTTCTTTGTATGTGACTTCTATTGCTTATTTTGATGAGATTTGTTCGGTTAAACATGTTTTGAGAAAATAGCATCAAAGTGGGAATTTTGGTGATTTTGCATTGGTTAATAAAATGAAAAAAAAATTGAGAAATATTGGAAATATATTAAGAAAGCGAACAAGTTAATTTATATTACGATGATACTTGACCCTAGGTATATATTTGTATTTGTTGAATTTTCAATCAAAGTATTATATGGTGATTTGGATGGTCAAAATTTGATAAATCTTGCGAAAGAATATATATATATATATGTTGAATTTTCAATCAAAGTATTATATGGTGATTTGGATGGTCAAAATTTGATAAATCTTACGAAAGAATATATATATATATATATATATATATATCGTAGGTGTGAATCTATATGTACATATGTACACATATATACATATATGTACACATGTATACATATATGTGTGTGTGTGTGTGTCGCGCGCGTGCGTCATGTATCATTTCTATTATCGATTGTCAATACCTTAAGATCAAATTAGCCAAAGTGGCGGGAGAATAGAACTCGTCAAATGCAAATAAAAAAATGGTTTACCAAGGGAAGACTAGCATAAAACTTGAGATGCAAATGCGTTTTAAAATGTGCAAGTATGATATTGGAGGTGGAGAAAATAAAATGTAATTGGATAGGTATCTTAATGAAGATCCCGAAAATGATAATACTGATTTTGATATTTTAGAGTGATGGAAAAACAATTCTCCTTAATTTTTCATCTTTTCACGGATGGCTAATGATGTATCGGTGGTTCTTACTTCTATTGTTCTCTTATAATCGACATTTAGCACCAAGTGAAGAGTTTTTGATGCCTTTAGGAGTTCTTTAACTCCTAACGCAATGAAATCTATCATATGTGCTAAAAATTGGCTTAAAAATTCATCCACTCTAATTACTATTAAAGAAAATTTGCAATATATTGAGAAAATTGAAGCAGGTAATTTTTATGACTTATCTTTTTATTTGTTATTTCTTTCTTTATATTGTTAAAGTGTTGTTTTTTTTTTTTTATCTTATATTTTTTTAGATTTAGCAATTGTTTCCCCAATGATAGATATTTGATGGATTATGGTGTTTTGGCTTTTTGGGTGGCATGCGTAATTTTTTAATTTTTATTTTCCTAATATAATAATTTTTTTAAATATTTTGATAGATTATTTAAGTTAATGTGGTGTTTTTTTAATAGGTAAAATCATTCCAAGACTTAGAAGCAAATGAAATCCCCTTAATTATGTAATCCAAATGAATTGTATTTTGATGATGTTTTTAATATTTTGATGATTTTTTTTTTAATTTGAGTTAATGGATTGTATTTTAATTAGGATTTTTTAAAAAAGATTTTGATGCTGTTTTTTTATTTGATTAAATGGATTGTATTTTAATTAGGATGTTTTTAATATTTTAATAATGTTTCATGGTACTTTTATCTAGTCTTGTATTAAGTAAAGTGTGAAACTGAAACTGTCAAACTATAACCACACATAAGGTCCTAACCTAAAAACTTTTTCTTATTCTTATTTCAATCTAAAAAATATTCCAAACTTGATGAGCATTAGCATTAACTTGATTACAACCTAACAGCAATAAAGTCAACATGATTAGGGTGGAAAACTTGTCTTCCAATATACTACTTTAATTTATAATACCAAAAACTAGAGCTAAATCGTTTACAATTTAGCTTCAACATACAGTTGGAGCCTAAAGAGCCACTAAGACCTCAACACTAATTTCTGGCAGATGCATCAGCATCACAATGGGCAATACAATAGAATGCCTCAACTGTTTAGACACAATGCACCTTATGCGCAATTAATTTTATCTTTCTGACCCTTTCGTCTACCAATTGCTGAAGTTTCAATAACTAAGAAACTGAAGAAGCTCACTATAGCCACAAATAAGCAAGGTCAATCTCTCACCGTTTCTAGCCTTTGAAAGGTTCAATTGGTCAAAAACGAATGGCCTCTGATTAGAGGCCTAAAAGGTCGAAAGCCCAATCAGAATTTAAAAAAAAAAAAAATTTCTTTAACTGTTTGCTCACCGCTAACCATAAGCCCTGTTGATTTTACGTACAGTAGCACGTGAGTTCAATCTACCAATAGCAAGGCAAGCAATGAGATAAGGAACCTGTTTTTCTAGAATGATAAAATAAATAAGTTAGTTGAAAAAGAAAAAAAGTAAATAATTCTTTAGTCCTATTTTTAAATGTAGTTATAAATTAGTGATTAATGTTTAAAAATTTTAATATATAACTCTTAACTTGATTTTTGTCTTTCTTTTTAAAATGTTGATTGTTTTTCCTCCAAACGTTCACTGCGTAGGTTCCTCTCTAATAATTTAAATTGTAAGAAATTACATTTGGAACGTTTTAACAATCAATAAGAGTGATGGGACTAAGTCATGGGTTTTATAGAAAAAGTACTGAATTATATTTCGTTCATAATGAAGGACTAAAGAATAATTTGCTCAACTGGAAACGAATAGCTACCGAAGTATGGATAAGACAAAAGTTCTGGTGTGAGAGCAAAGGAGGGACCAACCAAATTAACAGCTCCGACATTGAAAATGCAAAATAATTAATTAAGCTCTTCTCCGGCTGTGGCCTGATGTCCCAAGGCCAGTAAGATAGAATCGTAATGACAACCACCGTCACCGTGACACGTGTCCCATTGGTTTTCTCCGGTCATTGTCCTAATAATAAAAACGGTTGCGTTACAAAATCGCCCGTACACTTATTAGGTAGCAATAGCAATTGCAGCATTAGGCGTAGCTCATTTTCTTCTTCATTAACAACAACAACAGCAACGCGGTTGAGGAGAGTAGGGTTTCCTGTATCAGCTTCAAATTCAATGGCTTCAAGAACTGTCCTTGTCACTGGAGCTGGTGGCAGAACTGGTACCATCTCTCTCGCTTTCCGTTTACACATAATATGTTAATGTTCTCTCTTTGGTAACTGGGCTCTGGAAGTGAAAAAAATGATAAGGGTAATTGTAATTTCTTGGGCTGGGAACTTCTGAAATTCATGTGTTTCTTAACGTTGAAAAGTTTAGGAATTTTGGTTGATGGTTTTGGGATTTGGCGTTGTCTAGGTTTTATTTTCAAGTTAATAAAATAAAGATCATGTTTTTCTTTGCTCTTACATTTTAGTTTGTGACATAGAGGTAAAGATAAGTTTTGGGGATATTGCAGTCAGTGTTTTGTAATTGAAATCGCTATCAATTAATAAAATAGTCAATTGCAAAGGAAAGACTTTGGTTCAAAATGAACGAGGCTTCTGTTTAACATTTTTGGCGATTGAGGTTTTTTTATGTTCTATGATGGAGTGCAATCATCCATAAGAGCTAATAAATTAATGACACCATCATTAATAAATATTGTTTTGTATGAATACTTTGTTTCCTTTTTCTATGCTGTGTTGAATGAAATTTGTGATTTTCAAACATCCAAATGCAATGCAAGCTTGCTATGAAATATTTGAAAAGAAATTGAAGCCACATAATATTTGTCCCTAATTTGTAAACAGCATCAAATCCACAGTGCCAATTGGATTCCTGCAATAATGTATCGGAAAATAGTTAATTGCTATGAATTTTTTGTCACTATATGAAGGTTTACATAGTTCGCTCCATCTGATCCAGGCGTTTTTGCTGCTAGTAATTTATTGATTGGAATTAGCATTTCGCTTTTGCTTAGTTACTGAAAGGTAGATGAGTGTATCTTCCTTTCTCTAATTATCTTTGTTCAATGAAGAGATGGGCTACTGATTTTCTTTTGATTTACTTAGCATGTTATTATTGCCCTCACCTTTGACAGGTTCCATCGTTTATAAGAAGTTAAAGGAGAGGTCTGACCAATATGTTGCAAGGGGTTTGGTAAGAACTCAAGAGAGCAAGGATAAAATTGGAGGAGCAGAGGATGTTTTTGTTGGGGATATAAGGGAAGCCGAGACCATCGTTCCTGCTATCCAAGGAATTGATGCTCTGATCATCCTGACAAGTGCAGTGCCAAAGATGAAACCTGGGTTTGATCCATCCCAAGGTAGGCCTGAGTTCTATTTTGAAGATGGAGCATTTCCAGAGCAGGTAATCCTCATTTGTTTCTTCATTATTGGATCTTGATACTTCACTGGTTTCTCTTTCTTGATGTTATTTAATGCAAGATTTTTGCATTTTAGGTTGACTGGCTTGGTCAAAAAAATCAAATAGATGCTGGTGAGATCCTTGTTCCCTCTTCTATATGACTCAATTTTTTTCCCCCTTATGTCTTGTATGTTCTTGCTGAATTAGATGACTTGTGTGAACAGCTAAGGCTGCAGGAGTGAAGCAAATTTTGCTGGTTGGATCTATGGGTGGAACAAACCCAAATCATCCCTTGAACAGCTTGGGTAACGGGAATATACTGGTTAGTGATCCTTTTCTATATTATTTCTAAAATGAGCAAGTCAAATTTTATGTTCATTCTGTGGGGGCCTTCCACTCTGCAGTTCATGAGAACTTGTTCTCTTTCATTTTGTTAGACTTATTTTTGTTTTCTGTCTTCTGTCTTTCATTAATTTATTTGTGCTTTTGATCCATCACAAGACAAACTTCATTCATTCTATAATGTTTTAGGTTTGGAAGAGAAAGGCTGAGCAGTATTTGGCTGACTCTGGTGTTCCCTACACGATTATAAGGTAGTTGACAAACTAGCTATTTCTGGTGGTTTAATATCAATCTCTGTGGGTATAGAGTATTAGTTATGCTATATGTGTTGCAAAATTTCTGATGAATGAATGTGTTATGATGGAGGTGAGTGGTCTTGAAAGGAAAAAAATGGAATAATCATGTAGAGGAGTACACCATTTTAATAGTTTCTGCTGTATGTCTCATTTTATTTTTTCAAGGCATACCAGTAACCTTATGAGAGAGAGCACCCACATAATCCAATGACTAATTTCTTCAACCATTCAAAATATAGGATGCAAACCACGACTTCCATCTGTTCCCAGGTAATCTGCTAGTGTCCCAAATAAGTTGCTGTTTATTACCCAGTTCTCATCAAAATTCTGAACATGATAAAGTTCACATTCACATTCTCCCTATCCTAGCTGATATGAATTCTATCATTAATTATATTTTGTGCCTTTGTTAGATTGGTCACTCTTTTGCTGCATTGTTACTTGCTTGTCCTTCTGGTTTTACTCTTTTCTGTAGCTTGCCAATTGACATGAGCTTCCATAATTAGGGCTGGAGGCCTGCAAGACAAAGAAGGAGGTGTCCGAGAATTACTTGTTGGAAAAGATGATGAGCTACTTCAGACAGAGACAAGAACCATTGCCAGAGCTGATGTCGCAGAAGTCTGCATTCAGGTACTAATGACAAGAAAATACTCGTGCAACTATGATGTTTTCTCAAAATCAGTCTGCTCGTTTCCGTTGTAGGATTGAATGTTATGGTTTTTATTCAAAATACTGGAGTCACATATGTTTTTTCCCCTTCTACTTACAAACAGGCACTGCAGTATGAGGAGTCTCAATTTAAGGCATTTGATCTGGCCTCAAAGCCAGAGGGAACTGGCACCCCAACCACTGATTTTAGGGCTCTCTTTTCTCAAGTCACTGCTCGTTTTTGATTTCGAAGGGCATTATAAGGGAGATTGCAGTGTTGATTTGAAGAAAGAACATTTGAAGATGAACGAGTAACCAGATGAGATTTATGTGCTTAGTTTCCTTCAAGCTTGTATGTTAAGTATTTTGAATTATGGGCAAGTTTTTGTTTCCAAGGATTTTAAATTGTAGATTTACCTTGTCCTTTCAAGTAACGTATAAAAAGACCAGCAAACGCAGCTAAACATACATTGATGTATGAAATATAAGATGAATAAAGTTGCATTATGTGGTTATCTTAAATTATTAGTAACTTCCTTGCATGCTTGTAATATGGTATATATATTATGGTCCCCCACGCTCCTAATTTTTGGTGCCGTAGAATGTGATAAAAACTGCTAGATCTTGAATCATAACACGCAATTGAAAGATTGATTGCCCAACAATATGGGTTACATGTTATGCAATCTTTTTGTTCAAAGCCAATAGCAAGCACGGGTATAGCTTTATAAAAGAAGCTCCAATACATATCATTATTAACAACAGAGCCAACTAAAGAGCTTGTAGCCGAGAGATACCAAACCATTTGGAGGTTGATGCCTTAACTAGTACTCCCATCACCAGAAGCTCCAAGCTTTGTTGCTTGGAAGTGAAACCAGAATCTTGGTTTTATATGGTTAAAAAAAGAGATAGTGATTTTACCAAAAAGGATGAACACACAGGTAATGTCACCACTACAAAGATCATCTAACTTCGCAGGCTGATCATCTTTTGGACCATTTTATAATTTCAAATATTTTAAGCCGCGTCTTATGGATTATTGGTCTAACTCCCTTTGATGCAAAATGCGAATAGACTTATCAGGTTTGTTCAGAAGAGTCCAACACAAAAGGTTTATGAATGCGCAACGCCAAACTCACCAAGTCTAATTCAGGCCTATGAGTTGTGGTACAGGGCAATGTCAAAACAGACGGGCCTAAAGTTCCAAGTGAACGACTACCTGACAAAGCGAGCCCTCCAAAACAAAAGGTGAGTGAGTTGACCTAGAAAAAGAAGAAACCAATCATCTCCACTGACACTAGTCGAGACAAAGTATTTAATAAAAATTCTCTAATAATAGCATCGGTCGAATCACTACTCACCATATTAAGCATTGATGTCACCATATTAAGTATTTACTTTGTGATTATTGGCTCGCTAATATTAAAGAAAAAGAATGTTTATATTCTTTTCATCATATAAGTTGTACTCATAATTACTTATATAAAGGCCTAAATAATCACAAAGTAAAAAAGTTCTAATTATAAAACAAACTAAAGTAAAATATATTTTTACTATTCATTTCACTGTTTAAAATATTATTCACACACTCACAAATCATTATTCTTTTGTTAAATTTTTAACACTTTGATCCTCAATTTTTCTAATTTTTTTTTCAATTTTAAATTTTAATTATATTGTGATTTGATCTTATTTTATTTTAGCGTTTTCTCGTTAATTATTTATTATTTAAAATTTACTACTTTAATTTTTTATTTTTTAATTTGTCATTTTTTTTTCAATTTCAAACTTTAATTTATTAATTATTTTTATTATTTAAAATTTAATACTTTAATTTTTAATTTTTTAATTTTTTTTAAATTTCAAACTTTAATTATATTGTGACTTGATCCCATTCTATTTTAGTGTTTTTGTTAATTATTTTTATTATTTAAAATTTACTATTTTAATTTGTTATTTTTTAAAAAATTCTCATTCAATTAATTTAAAATTATATTTATTGATAGTTTCAATTTATTTTATGGATTTTGTAATAAATTTTTAGAACATGATTATTTTTTTGTTTTGGAAAAATAGATTTAGATCATTTTGAAATTATAGTGGCATGATTAATATATATAATTTGTCTAAAATACATTTTTAGATTAAAAGTGTATTTCAAATAATTTTTTCTTAGTTTTTTCATATTATTTAAAATTTACTACATTAACTTGCCATTTTTTTTGTTCAATTTCAAACTTTGATTATATTGTGATTTCGTCTCATTTTTTTTTGTTAATTATTTTAATTATTTTAAATTTACTATTTTAATTTGTCATTTTTAAAAACAAATTCTTATCTCATTAATTTAAAATATATTTACTAACAATTTTGATTTATTTTTCTATATACATGTATGGATTTTGGAATAAAGTTTTAGAACATGATTATTGTTTTATCAAAAATAGATTTAGATACTTTTAAATTATAGTGGCATGATTAATATATATAATTTTTCTATGTTTTCCAAATAATTGTTTCTCAATTTTTTTATTATTTAAAATTTACTACATTAATTTGTCATTTTGTTTTTAAATTCTTCTTTTTTTTTTTCAATTTTAAACTTTGATTATATTGTGATTTCATCCCATTTTGCTTTAGTGTTTTTTGTTAATTATTTTTATTATTTAAAATTTATTACTTTAATTTGCTATTTTTTAAAAACAATTCTCATCCAATTAATTTAAAATTATATTTACTTACGAGTTTTGATTTATTTTTCTATATGTATGGATTTTGGAATAAATTTTTAGAACATGATTAGTTTTTCTTTGAAAAATAGATTTAGATAACTTTTAAATTATAATGGCATGATTAATATATATAATTTGTCTAAAATAAATTTTTAGATTAAAAGTGTATTCATATATATATATTTTTTTTTGCAGTTTTTTTTAGAAAAAAATTCAAATTAATTAATTAATAATTGAAATTCAAATGTGAAAAATAAAAAGAAGATGGTCGCTCGATGCGTGAGGCCTGTATTCAAAGACTAGCCATACACGAGCATAGAAATAAACAAATATTTAAGAAGGAGGAAAAAAAAGAATTCACATGTTTTTTTAATTTGTTTCTTCTTTATATACTCAAAATTATTCAAAATCAAATTTTTAATAATTTTTATTTTAGTTTATTAACTTCAAATTTAGTCAATATATTTCTTATAAGTTAACTTTTTATAGTATTTTTTGTTTTAGACTGAAAACTCTAAACTCGCTTAGTATAGTTATGATGTATAAAAAAATATTGAATCATTATTTTTTTAGAAATGAATTGTGCAACTACTACTACACTAAGTATTTACTATTGATTTATTTTTTTTTTGAATATTTTAAAATTAACTTATTTTAAATTAAATAATTAAAATAATGTTTTGGCTTAACCACTCAATAATTCAAATTAATATAGTTTTTTATTTTAATACTATTCATTCTTTTGTAAATAAATATATAAAAATTAGATTCACATTTTTTAAAAAATTAATATTCTCATCAACATTAAATAAATAAAAAATATTTGTTCAATTCTACGTAAGCTTTTAGTAATTGTTATTTATGTTTTTCGACACAACCTTATAAAATACTAAAGCTTTTTTAAAAAATTTTATTTAATTTTCCTTTTAGTTAATACTCCATGGATTAACAAGGATGAATCTTTTTTCTAAAGTAAAAATTATGAAAAAAAATAAGAAATAGTTAAATAAAAAAAATTGATTAAATCATTTTTTACACATTTGATTTCATATATCTTTATAAATTCACACCATAAAACAGACTATCAAACCGAAATAATTTTTCTAAACGATTTTATATATTTTATGCAACCCACGGCGTAGCGTGGGGAAAAAAACTAGTTACTCTCTAAAAATTATTTCAAAACGAGGCTTTGTATCTTATACAATTTTTTTTTTTAATTTCGTACCTTCATAGGATGCATGATCCTTCAATCCATTCGTATGTCCACTTGTTTATTCTAATTTGTAAGTTTGATTATTTGAATAATTTAACACAAGTCCGATAAGGTTATTTGAAGACCGAAAAAAGACTATTTTTTCACTTAATATGTCATTAGACTATTGGTGTCCACTTGAAAAAGATAATGATCAAGTCTTAAAGCTCATTACCAATTAAATAACCCAAGCCCCACATAGAGATAGATAAAAGTTAACATAAAATGAATATAAACCATGAACAAGGGATGAACTCAAACCTTGGTCCTATAGCCATGCCACTTTTTTAAAATACTAAAATTAGACTTGGGGCTCAAGGTCTATTTTAGAGACAAGTTTGCAAGACAAAAAATTAATGACACCAAAAAAATAAAGTAAAATTAACATTAAACCAAATAAAAAATAAAATTAATGAAATAAAATAAATAATAGTAAGAAAATGCCCACCATTAGAACAAAGTAGGTCTTAAATCCAAAACCTAATCCTTCTCCCTCTAGATTGACTCGCACTAGCATTATATAAAATAAATAATCATGAATCACATAACGGCAACTCCATGAAAATTAAAATAGTCAATAGGCTTTCACAAGGTCCTTAAGTAACTACTTCATACTGGCTTATTTTATTTTTTATTTTTAGAAAACAATTGCTAACCGATTGCTAGCTTCATCATCAATCGACGAGTTTCTTAGAGACTTTTTATATAAAAACTAAAAATACCGTAAAGTATGTAAACCCTTAACCCTTTTTTATTAAAAAAATAACAACAAGAAAATAAAATTAAAATTAAAGATAATAATAAAAAAATATATATTACAAAACTCTAACTCAATCGGATTAAATTTAGAGCATACAATATCCGAAAGATGTGAATTTAGATCCCTTTTAAATATATAAAAAATTACAAAATAGAACTAGTTCTATTTTTTTTAATTATACCTTTTTAGTCAAAATATTTTGATCTAATTTATACCTTTACATTATTGTTGTGTTTTTTATTTCATTTTTTTTATTTTACTTTAATTTTCAATTCGTCATTCGCCATAAATACGAACAAAAAGAAAGGGGTATCGAAGATAAAAAAGAAGAGAATTAATTTTTTTATTTCTTAAGGTTTTATTATAATTAATTTAAAAATTTTATGGGACAATGTGAGAATATATTTTTTTTTTGGGGGGGGGGGGGAGCAATGGAGAACAATAGGGAGCTAATTAGTGGAAATTAAGAAAAAAAAAGGGACAAAAATACTCGCTTAA